ATGCATCAGGTGGGATGAGGCGTAGATTCGAGGTGTTTGTGCAATTGGATAGTGGGATTGAGGGGTCGGAGCAGAGAGGTATGCAGTCTGAGACAGAGCACGTGCCGCCGGAGTCTGATAAAATGGAGGCGTTCACGGCCAGGATGTAAGCCATGGTGAGGAAAGTGGCAGTGCCGGCGCGGAGCTCGGTGGTGAAGGTGGTGTCGCGTTCAGTGATCTTGAAACGCTTTCCGACTCGGCTATTTGCGATGTATGTGTTCAGCCGATTTAATGGCGATAGTTTTGTGTTTGGTGGCAGCGGCCCAGACTCCACGTCCATCTAGGATGAGTAGTTTGTGAACTCTTTCAAGTTAAGAATGGACTAGATTACTCTTGAGCAAAGAGTGAATTCATTGTCTATTTTTATACTGATTTTAATTTTAAGGCCACCGTTGGAAGCACATTTGTTAACCACTCAAGGAAAATGATTTTGCTATTTGTACATCAAAATTGTATTACATAATATGATATGAAAGAAAAATATTGGATGAAAGGTTGACTGTGTTTTAAACCAATAAATAATATAGTGTCGTATAACATTATGTAACCCCTAATGTCCGTGTCGCGAGATTCAAAGAAAAACATTCAAAATTATGGGGATTAGGCTACCTCCAAAAAAATCTTATCAGTTGAGTACAGTGTAAAAATCATGAATTGTTATTGATGCATGAATATTATAGGGGTAGTGCTGGACGTGCAGAAAATCCTTGCCAGAAAGTTACCAAATGAGTAGGGGCAGCAACTATTCCTTTTCTAAAATGTCTATATTGTCCTTAATGAAATATTTTGCAAGTTAAGTCCTGTATCATTCAGTTGTTGGATTGTTGAGGATTATATTTATAATTCTTCCAAATCTTTTAGTAATTTTTTCTTTCTTCTTGATTTATACGATCCTTTAACTTTTCTATTTGTTCTAAATATCCTCTATATTTCATTAATTTTTCATAGGCTCTAAGTTGATCTCTCTAGTTATATATTCAAAAATAATTATTTTTGAAACTTCTTCTATATTTACGTATTTGGTTATAACATCTTCAATCTTTTTTATTTCTTTAATAGTTTCTACAGGGTTAAATCTTATATTATGTTTACAAGCATAATTTATNATATTTTCGTATTTAGTTATAACATCTTCGTTCTTTTTTATTTATTTACTAGTTTCTACAGAGTCGAATCCTATATTATGTTTACAAGCATAATTTATATCAAAATATATTTCTTTAAGTTTTTCTTGGCCAACAGGAAGTATATCTTAAGATTTTTCAACTATACTTAAAAAAATGAAATATCTTTTTCATCTAAATATAATTTAAGATAATCATCATTGGATGTGGATGCTTGTGAAGTGTCCATAAAGATTAATAATTAAAGTATAATCATATAAAGGCATGTAAATAATTTACAGTAATCGATGGAAATAAACATGATTTTCCTCCAGCATGTTTTTATAGTAGCTTAGCATGTACTTAATCATTCTTCTGAATCAGATGAATATTGAAGATGTTTTGAAATCAATTGGGTCTATAACTGCTTCCGCAAAAGGCTTTTCAATTAAGGTTGCATATCTCATACTAGAGAACTAGCCGTGTTGCCACAGCCGCAATCTCACAGAATCCAGAGTCTCTGTATTCACCTCTATTCAAACTCTTTTCAGAACAAGTTCT